GTGGGCTCCAGCTAAAGAGCTACCTGCACCCTAGTTTGGCAGCGAGTAGTGATTTCCCCAGGCTGATGCCCTAAAGCGGACATAATCCCAGACATGAGACCCTCTGACAGCCAGTCACAGGACCTCACGCAGAGCTCCCCACACTGTTGGCTACCTTGAGCTCAGAGCCTGGGGATCGGGGTCAGCAGGTAGCCATAGATTTGGAGCAATTGAAAAAGAAGTAAATTTACCCAAGTAAGGTCGCGTTGTGGCAGAAAATAAGTGGATAGTCATAGTCCATGGGGAAAATTCAGTTCCAGTTGGCTGAGAAGAAAACAACCTCTCTGATAAGCTGGATCTCCCCCTGTGGGGGTCAGCATGACAGCCCCCAAATCAGGGCACTCCATAGTCCAATATAAAAAAAAGGAAAGAAAGATTTTCTTGGTAAAAAACTGCAAATCCCAGGCTCATTGCTCAACTCCAAGGCATCAGGTAGAAGGAGTCCTTTAACATATAGTAGCATAATAAGGCCTTGCTAATGAAGGCCAGAAGTAGTTAGCTACAGAGCCTAGAGACTATCAACATAACAAAGACCCCTTTGAGCAAGCCTGTTTCAGAATAACTTCATTCAATTCCAGCTTTGTGGGGGGTGAACCTCTGAGCTATTAGGGCATCAGCAGTCTAGATAGGACAATAAGCCCAGCTCCCCTCTCAGTGACTCTACACACAGCTGGGGAGGTCCTGCTTATCCTGGGGCCCTACAAGGGGTTGAAGGAACACCCCGCCCCCCCTCCTCTGCCGGGCTGCAGTGCTACATACAGCTCAAGGCAACTATACCAGTGAACTCCAGCACTCAACACTGCTGTGGGAACCACCGCCTGGCCTCTGCTGTGATCTTATGTTCAAGGGTAATTCCACCCAGCATCAGTGGGATCCTGTGCCAAGTGGGCATGCCACCCCCCTATGCTACCTTGAGGCAGGGTTCAAACTCCTCCAGCCCCACGGTCAGGCGATCAAACCTCAGTTATCTCCTTACCGCTCATTTTCTTCTTTCTTTATAATATCACCCTTCTATCTTTCCCACTACAGTTGGTCTCAACGGGCCCAGTTTGGTTTGTTTTCGCTTCTTTCTCTCTCCTTTTCCTCTTCTATCCCACTATTTCCTATCATATGGTACTCCTGGCTTCTGGGCTACTAACCTCACCTAGGGCAACTCAACCCAAATAGCAGGGGGAACTCCAGCCTGCCCTCTGTGGGAGGGCTGAACACCACACAAGGCAGCTGTCACAGGATTCTACAGTGCTCTGCCCTGCTGAGGAAAACCTCCATAGGACCTTTAAGGTGATCTCGTCAACTAGGGCAATTCCATCCAGCACCACTGGGTGCCTGCATTAAAAGGGCACATCAACGTGCCATCTTGGGGCAGGGTTTAAACTCCTGTGGCCCCACATTCAGGCAATCAGGGATCAGCTATCTTTTTATTCTTTATTTTTTTATTCTCTCTTTCCCATCCCAATCAATCTTAGCAAGTACAGTTGTGCTATTTTCCCCTTCTTCCTCCTTTTCTTTTTCTTTCTTTCTTCCATCTCTCTTTTTTCTCTTCTCCTTTCTTCTTTTCGGTTTCTCTCCTCTCCCTCTCTTTCCTTCCACACGCCACTGTGGGTTTACTACCCTCTGCCCAGGTCAACTCCGCCAACCCAGTGGGGAGAGCTAGAGCCTGCCCCCTTTGACAGTGCTACACATGGCATGAGGAAGTGCTACACACTGCACAAGGCCATGCTACACACAGCATGGCATGGGGCTCAGCTAGCTCTTAATTTTTTTCTTCATTTCCCCCTTTGTTTTCTTTCTTCTTTCACCTTTCTTCTTTTCTCCTCTTCTTCCATCTGTTCTCTCTTCCTGCCACAGTCTCAGCAGATTCAGTTTTCCTTTTAGGTTGTTGTTTTTTGACTGTTTATAATTTTTGTTTTCTCTTTGCATTTTGGGTCCATGTCTGTGTGTTTGTTTTTTATTTTTGCTCTTATCTTTGTTTTATACTTTCTCCCATTTTCTTTTCCTCACACTCGCCTTCCTTTCACTAGCCACTACCAACCTGCAGACCACTCCCCTCTGCCTAGGGCAACTCTGATGGCCCAGATGGGTGCTCCCACCCACAATTGTTGGCTTTACGTGCAGCTGGGGAAATCACTGCAGAGCTCTTACATACCCCAGGCTGCTGGGGGATCTCCACTTCAATCCGCTGGAAGAACTCAAGTCTACACCCTGAGGCCCTAAAAGTGACTGGGAGAACTCCTACCCACTGTTGGTGGTGCTCCACGCTGCTGCAGGAATATTCGCCCAACCTCCATAGCAATCTCTCTGACTAGGATAATTCCACCTGCCACCTATGGTGCTCTACAACAAGGAAGGTGCACCCACACACCCTCTGTGGTACTCCACTTGCAGAGGTAAACACCACATGCCCCCTGAGGTGCTCCAAGCACCCTGAGACAAACCACTATGGCTTACTTAGAGATCAGCAAGTGAAACACCACCCTTGTGGGCCCACACCCACCTGATAGATTTTTGTGGTGTGTGATTTATTTTATTTAAGCTGATGATATAAAAATAAATATCCTAAAGATAAGCTAAAACATTTCAATATATTATATATTTGTAGATAGGAAGCATTCCTTTCATAGATAAGTTATTATTATTTTATTTTTACCAGTTATGTAATAGCATATATTTGCCACCTTTGTTCATGACAAAAAATAAAAATAAAAGAAGCCAATAGGAA